ATAAGAACATAAATATATAAATGAGTTATATAACACTTACAGCATCTCCAGCATCACCTATTGAATAGCTTGCTGCTAATCAGTAAGTCCTACTGCCAATCCAGATCCTAATTGAATGAATCTGCTAAAATTATTTAAGATTAAGATTGGAGTTACTCTTATTATTATTACTATTACTATTTTTTTTAATGTAGGCTTTATAATTGTAATGCTTATTCTATATACAATAAGAATTATCATTAATAGTATGCGCAACAACATTCGTTTAACCATAGATCTCACAATGTTATTATTATATACAATAAGAATTATCATTAATAGTACGTGCAACAACAATTCGTTTAACCATAGATCTCTCAATATTATTACATACAATAAGGATATCATTCATAGCAGTAGTTACCATCAGTTGATTTTTTTTGATGGTCGCATAGCAATGATTCTAAATCTATTTTTTGAAACAGACAAATAAATATCGAGACAATGTTATTATTATATACAATAAAAATTATTAATATACAATAAGAGTATAATAATAATGCCTCGCATAACAATAATTCAACCATAGATTCATTTAAATACAATGTTAGAAATCTGTATTATGAATTATTTGAAGTGAATGTATAAAATGTAATAAACTAACAATTCTAATTATATTACTCAAAGATCTTTATTTCTGCTCATTTAACCCTTCCTTCTATTTTAAATATAATGTAGATCAGTAAAACAAATCTCTCATCAAAACCTAACTAACTCTTGTGCGAGCCAATAGTACCTTTGTTGTTGCAACATTTGAAAGTCCAACACATCATTTAAAGAGGTATTAGCAAAAAAACTTAATGTATAATTAAAATGAAACTTAATAGAAATGCACTTTTTTGAAAAAGATCAATGAAATAAAACTTTAGACGTAAAAAATCTTCACCGCTACTTTTCTTTCATCTTGGGAACCAAAATTTTTTGTCAAAAAAATGTATTTATTTTATTTGAAAAGTTTACAAAACATTATTTTGTTATATAAAAACGTTGAATTTATGAAATCTTAGTAACATTCGTGCCCTATACAACCACGTGATATTTGTAACATGTGAGCAATTATTGAATGGTTTTTAATTGGTCGAAATTTTAAAGGTAGTAAAGGTTCCTTTGATTATCGTGTAAACTAATTGGGACATTCAAATTTTATACGACGTCCATGCTATATTAATTGATTAGTTGAAATGGAATGAAGAACAGGTTTTAAATCATAATGATCTAATTTCAATCAAGGTTGAAGGGGGCTTTTTTTGTAAGTAGTATAAAACAATTAATTTACATATATGTTTATGTTTGTATATTTGGTTTATCTTTTATTTATTCAATTATGTTTATATAGATGTACAGTTTTTTGAAGATGCCAAAACTGATTATGAAAATATAATTGCAGAAGAAAATAATCGTTTGCCTGCTCAATCAGGAGAAAGGTATCATGTTATAAATAATGAAGATGATAGTAATGACCATGATAAAACTGGCAAAACATGCATAATTAAAAAAGTTAGATCAAATAATTGTAATGATGAAAAGATTTATGCTGCTAAAATTATCCATGTCAGTGATGCAAAATATGACAAAAACAGAATAATAGAGTATAGAAATGAAATTGATATTTTGAAAATATTGGACCATGAGAATATTATAAAGGTAGTTGATGATTATTTTGATGAAGAGAATATAGTAATTATTTTACCTTATCTTTGTGGGGGGAGCCTTGAGGACTATATTAAAACATTAAATGGTTTTATAAATTTCCAACATTGGAAAAAACTGGCTTTCCAAATTTGTTCAGCTATAAAGGCAAGAACATTTTTATTATAGTTTTATTAATATTGTATTCAAATATTATATTTAATAATTTTTAAACATTACCATAGTTGTATATCTTTTATACTGCATATAGTAACATTTTAATTTTTTTATTCTCTCTAGTACATTCATGAGAATCACATAATGCATCGAGACATCAAACCTGACAACATCATGTTTACAGATTTTAGTTTTAATCAAGTTAAGTTGATTGATTTTGGTGAGTCAAAAAAAATAGAAGGATATATTGACAGCATGGACAATTATATTGAACAGACCAGCACAGAGTTAGTTGGGACACCCTTATTTGTTGCACCTGAACTTGCCAAGGCATTCAAATATAGTATTGAGATGTTTAAAAAAGATAATGATAGTGATTGTGGTACTGCTCAATGTGAATATGACAAATCTATTGATATCTGGTCATTTGGGATAGTAAATTACTATATGTTGTCAAAACAATATCCTTGGAATGTTAATAATCATGTTGAAGGAGTGGAAGGAAGATCAAATAATTATACTGAGCTTTACAACAATATAATTAAAGGTGACCTAGATTTTCCTACATTTAAAACAATTAGAAGTGACATTAATGAAATTGAAACTGTTGTAGATTTTATTCTTAAATTGTGTCAGGTAGATAGAAATAATAGGATATCATCTAATCAAGCATTGCAGCATACAGTGTTTAGTTAATTTAAATTTTCAATCATAATGGTAAAAACATTATTTGCTTATTGAAAAAGTCTGGTGATTTTTATAAATTCAATTTAAATAATAAAGCTCATACAATGACTTTCTCTCTATTACTTACTATAATAATGATTTAAATATTTTACTCTAATATTTAATTAAATTTCTGTATAATAATAATGGGCTCATATCATATATGTCACTTACCTAAAAGTTTTAAAAAATTTATGATAAATAAAACTTATGATGATAAAAAAACTTGATAAAAAAACTTACAATAAAAAAAACATGATTTTTCAAATTAATTAATTTCTTTATACAACATTAATATTAATATTAATAAAATATGGCAGGTCACCAAAAATATATTTTTCAATTAAATAAAAAAAACGGCAGTCACCAAAAGTATATTTTTCAATTAAATGAAAAAACGGCAGGTCACCAAAAATATTATTAAATTTTTCCATTAATATAATACTAATACTATTAACATCAGGATCTTAAATTATCGCGATGTAAAACGGGTACCATTGCACAACTTTATTTCAAGAAGCGCAGCCTACCCAACATTGCAACAACGCATTGTTACATTGCGATGTACATCTTGATTTTTTATATTTAATTTTAACATTTCGCATTGTATTAAAAATTAATAAAAATAATATATATATATATATAAATTCAATTTGAAAAAATTACATTTTTTATTAATATTATTAATTATATAATATAATCGTAAGAGACCGTTCTGGTAGCACAAAATTTGATTCATTTCATCAACAATCACCAACAATTGTTTCATTAACAAATGATGACGAATTCGTGAATCAATCGTCACCCAAATGATGACGGATTCACAGATAAATCGTTACCCAAATGACGACGAATTCGCGGATCAATCGTCATCCAAATGATGATGAATTTGTGGATCAACCGTCATCCAAACGACGATGAATTCGTGGGTCAAATCGTAACCCAAATGACGATGAATTCGTGAATCAATCGTAACCCAAATGACGATGAATTCGTGAATATCAAGCCAACTAGATACCAAAACGGGTACCCAAAAATAATTAGGTAACAGTCTAATCATAAGTAGGTAACAGTCTAGAGTAAGTAGGTTGCAGTATATATATATACTGCAACCTACTGGTGTTTTACCTGAGTACAATGCACAAATTTAATTTTGGAGCTAATGAGTTTCTTTCATATAATATTAATTTCAAAGCACCAAATTTTAATAACAAGCCTATAATTCATGTTCAAGATACTAAAAATGTAAAAAAAAATGGCAGAAATAATGTATATTCTGAATCTCATTTATTAAAAATGGGAAAGTGATACTGTTGGGTATGATCAAATACTAACATTAGCACATGAAGAAAACCATATGTTAAATTTAAGAGATATAATCAATACAGATAAACAGAATGATGGTGCAGCATATAGATTTTTCCATTCAGATTTCTAAAACAATGTCAAAATGATGAAATTTATCAGATCTTAAGAGATTTACTTCAGCTAATGAATATCCTCTCACTTTTGTTTCCTTTATTGCTTGCCCTGAGATAGAAAAGGACATTTTGTAAAATTATACATTTGAACTTGGTGAGCTTGTTCTCACCCGATCTCAAGATTACTGTGGTATTGTCATTTCTGGTAGAAAAACTCGTGTTGGATTTGAAATTAAGAATATTGTTGAACACAATGAATTGACCAAAACATTAAAAGATGAATTAAATGCAACTTTTGAATATATGTATATATATAGCATAAAAAACATACTTGGACCAGTACTTGAAGATAATAGTTCTAATAAATATCCTCAAATTGCACGAACATATTGATCGAGCAGATAATATTGTTACCAGAATTAGGATTTAACGCTGATCTGTTGGTTGAAATACCCTAATTCCGAATCAAATCTTTTATTTCTATTTTTGCTTTATTTTTATATATTCCTTATAATTCTTAATTTTATTTTTATATTTACATTTTACTATTTTTATTCGTCGAAATTAGTTAGAAATTAGCGTCAGAATGTTACGTCGCAATTAAATTGCATCGCGGTTAAAATGCTAGATTGCAATAAAGTTGTTACTAATTAATTTTATTGTATATAAGAAGCTCAAATTAGACATACTTGTAAAATGACTTTGTAAAAAAAGTTTTAATAACTTGTAAATTAACTTAGAAATAAGTCAATAAATTAGTTTTGACTAAATAAAACGTTCCCTAAATCACTAAACCAAAATTATTCGCTAATAAAATTAATTCGTTAGTAATAGCCAATTCATTCTGATCCACATAATCATAAATTTATATTGTTAACATCAATTAACGGGATGTGCAAGACGCATAAGATCTTGTCATAACGGATTTAATTTTTGGGTTACAAAAATGTCAAATATACATTCCGCTAGTTTCTATTCAATGTACGATATCTATTCTACGAAATGATTTCATTGAAGCTTTAAGAAGATATTAGCATGTATTAATGTTTGATTTATTTGATTTCCAGTAAAGCCGTTATCAGCAAAAATAGCACCACATTCTTTATCGGCTGAACAAATTTTTACTGGTTCTTCTTGATCATTTTTATCACTTTCGACGCTTTCGTCTGTTTGGCTTTTAATGGGTGGTGGTTGTTCATTTGAAGACAAACTAGCCATCTTTCTCAGCGAACAAAGAGATATTTTAAACAGAATAATATAGGAAAATGATTGATACATTTAAACACTAATATCAGATGTTTTTCCTTGTTAAATAAAAGAGGATATTATTTATAAATTATTTTTTTGGTGACCGACTGTTCAATCGTCGAATAATAAGCCTCGGATACCATCAAGTAAAAGCTATTCTACTGTCAAATATATTTCAGCAGACAACCAATTGGAATTCGCCGGATTTTTTAAAAAACACAAAAAGACACATCCTTATGACACGATTGTTTGTTTGTTTTTTGCGGTTTTTTTTCCGCTACAGAAATAAATATACCTCGCATGCTAAGTAAAAGCCGTTCCTCAGTCAAATAACTATGCCTGTTTGCTAGTTGAATTTCATATAGTCAGTTTTAAAATTCGTCGTAGCTTTATTTTCCTTGCCATTTATTGTATCGGATAATAGTCGGATGTCTGCTGAATATCTGTCGATTACGATAATCAGTAATATTATACTAATATTAATATTTTCATATTATTTTATATGATTAGCTCGGTCGTTACGGCGCCACACGCTTAAATTTCAAAAATTGCGATTTCGTTCAAAAGATCTTGAAAAAAATTATTTTCCTTACCGCCAAATTTAGATATGATGGTCGAGTATTAGTCTAAATTTAGTACTGATTGTCTAAAATTTAGCCATATGATCTTAGCGCTCAAATTCCTCATGTTTTAAAAAAGAATAGAACTCTACAACAAATAATATTTTTGAGAAAATATCTCTATTAAATTAAAATTAAAGACCTATTCTATCAACTAATAGAGCTATTTTTTTTAAAAGGTGATTTATTGTATTTTAGTAATAAATAAAATAAAATTGTTTTTTGGTAGCAGTTTGCCCAATTATTTGATTTTTTTTCCATAATCTAGATCGTCGATCATTATATCATTAATCTCCAGATTTGGTATATTATGAAACTGGAAAAATAATAGAAAAATCTGGAAGCCTGGGAATATTTTTAGAGTAGTATTAATGGTAGTAGTGATCACTTTCATCAAATTAAGGAAGATGGAGAATATACTCCAATACGATTAAAAATGAGTTAAATTTTTTTTCGTGGCATTTCCACTTACAACTCTATACAATAATAAAAATTTCTCATTCTTTCACAAAAAGATTCAAATATAATATATAGATAAAAATAATAATTAGATATTCAGATATTCAAAGGTGATGAAAACATCGAGTCTCAAGCATTTAAATGAAAGGAATGAAATTTATGGTTTTTGTTCAATTTGTGACAGATACAATACCAATTATTCATGGCGCCAAGAATGCAATCCACAATTATTGACTCAAGGTTGGACCAGTGGTAATGAGACAATTGATGAATTGATTAAAAGTACACAACTTAAGGCAACAAAATTTGATAATAATTCTTATCTTCAATGGATCCCTGATAATGATTTAGAAGATATTGAAAAGATAGGCGAAGGTGGTTTTTCAACTATATACAGGGCTACTTGGATAAATGATTTCGGAGCTAGAACTGTTGTATTAAAAAAATTAAATCATTCTCAAAATGTTTCAAAAGAATTTTTAAATGAGGTATTGATTGTTATTTGTTAGATTTTTTTGAAAAAAATGGTTTTAATTGTTTTTAATTGTTTTTTTTTCAGTTTGAAAATTATGTCAAATTTCATCGAGCCTATTGGATCGTTCATGTTTATGGATTAACACGAGATCCAAATACAAAAGAATATGCATTTGTAATGGATTATTTTAAAGATGGAAGCCTTCAAAATTATTTAACAAAAGGATATAAAAATTTAAAATGGGAAAATAAACTTAGAGTTCTTTTTGACATTATTATGGGATTAGAACAAGTTCATCAACAAGAAATCATTCATCATGATCTTCATGGTGGTAATATCCTACTTTGTCATGACGTCTTTTTAAAGTCGTGCATCGCTGATTTGGGATTATCAATTCCAGCCAACCAATCAACATCAAATAATATAATTGGAGTACTACCATATATAGCACCAGAAGTTTTAAGAGGCGAGCCATACACATTGAAATCAGACATATATAGTTTTGGAGTATTAATGTCGCTAGTGTCAACAGGATTACAACCTTTCTGTGATTTGGAACATGATTTAAATCTTGCAATTAAGATTTGTGAAGGGATAAGACCAGGATTCTCAATTAATACCCCAAAAGTTTACATTGAATTAGCATACAGGTGTATGGATGCTAATCCAGATAAACGTCCAACTGCCAAGGAAATTTTTAAAACCATTAATAATTGGAAAAATTTTGCAAAACCAAAAGAATTTGATGAGATGGACAAGGTCGAATTCGATCCCTCAATAATTATACATCCAAATGCTGTTTATACGAGTAGGCTATTAAAAATCGAAAATCTTCCTCAACCTGTAAATTCAACAAAAGTTACGATCATTGGTAATTGTGATGGTAGTTATTAACGATTGATTTATTTTGCGTTGAATAATTTTTATTTTATCAAGTCTATTAAAATAATATTAATTATATTTACAGATTCACATCAAATGGACTTGGACATATAGATCAATTGTTTAATTAAATTTCTGCGAAAATAATAGATTTTGTTAATTCTTTATTTATTTTATTAAGCTTCTTATTCGTTGTTAATATAACAAAAATAATAAAAATAAAATTTACACAAAATTTTTTATGATAATAATAATCGTTGTTGCCATTTTCAGTTTTTTTGGTTAGATTTGCATAAATGAAATTCTTTTAAAATTTTCTTTTTTATTTTTTTTTTTTTGATAAAAGATAAAACATGAGAGCTGGTAAACGTTTATTTTTAATTCCTTTCATAGTCTACATAGTTTAATTGGTTTATTTGTTTCTAATAAATAAATTTTTTATAGTTGGTATAGATTTTGGAAACAATAATTCTAGAGTAGGAGTCTGGCAAAGGAACCATATTGAAATTATTCCTAATGAATTGGGTAGTCGCATTACACCTTCTTGTGTTGCATTTACCGAGACAGAGCGTTCAATTGGTAGCGAGGCAAAAAATAAAATGGCCACGAATCCTCATAATACTCTTTATAATGTTAGACGATTAATTGCTCGACGATATGATGACAACGAAGTTCAATTGAATATCAAGGTATTTATTTATGGCGTAGTTATATAAACAAATAATTAATTTTGTGTGTTTACAAGCACTTTCAAAAAAAAAAAAGAAAAAAAAAATAATATTTACATATTATAGAATTTACCATTCATAGTTAGCAATAAATATGGTAAACCATTCATTCAAGTTGAATATCAATACGAAACAAAACTGTTTGCTCCGGAAGAAATCACTTCAATGATATTATCAAAAATGAAAAATATAGCTGAAGCTTTTCTTGGCGAAACAGTTTCAGAAGCAGTCATCACGCTAGGTGGTCTACACACCGATTCACTGCTTCAATCGATAAGAGATGCTGCCACGATCTCAGGTTTGTCTACACTCAGTGTCATTCCTTCAACATCAAGTGCAGCAATTGCCTATGCTTTGGAAAAAAAACCATCTGGAACAATTAATGTTTTGATCTTTGATATGGGCAGCGGTACTACTGATGTTTCGCTTGTAAATATCTCGGATCTCGTTGTGGAAGTTATGGCTATCGCTAGTGACACACATTTGGGAGGTAATGATTTTGATAGTCGTCTTGTGAATCATTACGTTCAAGTGTTTGAACACAAGTATAGGAAAAATATATCGAATAATGTACGAGCTCTTAGCCGCCTTAGAACTGCATGTGAGCGAGCTAAATGTGCACTTTCAATCTCGAGTCAGGCAACTATTGAGATTGATTCACTTTTCGAAAACATTGATTTCTACACTATTGTCACACGTTCAAAATTTGAGGAATTAAACGATGATCTGTTCCACATGACAATAGAAACTGTAAAAAAAGTGCTCCAGGATGCTGATATGGATAAATCAAATGTGGATGAAATTATTTTGGTTGGTGGATCTTCTCGTGTTCCAAAAATTCAAAGTTTGATTTCTGATTTTTTCAATGGTAAAGAATTGAATAAATCCATCAATCCTGATGAAGCTATGGCATATGGTGCAGCAGTGAATGCGGCCATTCTTAGTGGCAACACTTCAAAAAAAATAGAAAAAGTTTTACTTGTTAATGTTGCTCCGCTTACGCTTGGCATAGAAACAGCCGGTGGTACGATGTTACCGATTATTAAACGTAATACTATGATTCCTACTAAGAAAGTGGAAACTTTTCCAACCAATTCCACACATATAGTCATTAATGTTTATGAAGGGGACAGTCAATTTGTCAAGGATAATCATTTCTTGGGAAAAATTTTATTTGATGTTCCACCAACTTATAATGGTTCATCTTCAATTGAAGTTACTCTTGATATTGACTCTAATAGGCTTATAATTGTAAGTATCGTGTATTTGTTATTTGTTCTTTTAAAATTATTTTAATGATTATAATTATATTGTTTAGGTGACTGTTAAAGATTGTACTTCTGGTAAATGGGAACAATTAACCATCACAAATGATGATGGTCGGTTATCAAACGATGAGCTTGCAAGAATGAGTGTGTAAATTAAATTAAATCTGAATTATTTAAGAGGGGGGTTTTTTTATTAATCAGTAATTATGCTTTGGTTTTTTTAAAAAAATAATAGTTGCAGATTCTGAAAGATATTGTGCAGATGATGAAAGGATAATACAAAGAATGGAAGCACATAATAAATTAGAAGGTTATGTATATAAATTAAGAAACTTACTCCAGGTAAATAATGATCAATTCAATTCAATTTAATATATTAATATAAATATATAAAGGAAAACATGCCAACCATAGCATGCGCGTATATTATATATTTATGTTTATATAATCTTAGGATAAAAGGTTTTCAAGTAAATTTAGCCCCATTGATATAGAAAGATTTAATAATACCATTCAAGAAACAATCACATGGTTTGATGATAACCAAGAAGCTGGAAAGCACGAGTATGATTATAAACGTGAAATATTAGAAAAGATTTTTTATCCAGTGACCAGCATATGTGAAAAAGGATTCTTTGACTGAAAAAAATTTCTATGAATTATTAATCGAATTGTCAGTATAATTTCGAATTATCGATGTATTTTTATTAATAGAAACCTATTTACATTTTTCAGATAGATCCATTCTTAATTGGTTATTATAATTATTGATATTGTAAATTTTCAAAAGTTAAATTTGT